TTCAAGCTGAGGTACTGTCGGGCATGGTTCCCGTTCAAGAAGCAGCCTTCGAGTAGACATCCCAGACCTCTTTGAGCGTTCTGTTTCCCTCCTGGCTTGGGGAGGATTGCTGCTGGCACATGATGTACCAGGCCGATCCGGGTCCGACCACGGCTTCGCGTCGGTCCACTTGGCGGACATAGCACTGAAACTGCCCGGGCGAGCGTTGTCGGATGCACCCGTGCATTCGAATCGAGGATCCATAGTAGATCAGCTTCCGCCGTTCTGTAGGCCTCCATCAAATTATTGATCTTTGGGTTCACACCAACTCGTTCTTCCCCTGCTACCCAACAACTCAAATTAGCTTCTTTGGTTTCTATACATTTATTTTTATTGGATCTTTTTAAGAATAAAGTTATGGCAGGATCAGAGGGGGTGGCTCACCGATCAACAGCCGAGCACGTACTGCGGGATATTTAGAGATAAGTTCTTGAGCGACTTTGCGAGCAGGGTCATCGGGGTGAGCGACACAGAAGATGATCTCGAAGCGATCGAGGGGCCATTGTTGGAGGAAAGCGCTTTCGAGGTTCTCGCGGAGTCCGTAATCTAATCCGCAGAGTGGACGGAGGATCGAGACGGATGGGATGAGCAGGTTTTGGGTTTTCGAGTTCGGCCGGATCGGGTTCGAGTTGGGCGCGACTTGTGATAGTGGTGAGGAGGAGATCGGGAACGGCGGCGGTGGGGGTGGCTGTCGGTACTTGCGGAAGCTGTCGTGGTCATCGTCCATACAGCCGGAGACAGAGCAAACCACATTTGAGTCAGCTCATTGTTCTGAGTACTTATAGTGGTTAATTTTTTTTCTCCTGGTCTATAATCTGCCCGTCATAAGAATAGCAAGATCGGGAGAGATTGCGAAGATAGTGGCTCGGACGAGTTTCAAACGGCTTCTTTTATCCTACTGTCCTCGACCTCGTTGGGAAGCCTTGAGGGGACTGGCTCCTGCTGAGATAGGAGAGGGAAGAAGGGAAGAGGATAGTGGGGACGTACGCGATGACTGAGCCCGAGACGGCCATGAGTACCATGATGGCGTACCATGCCAACGAAATCCAACTGTACTAATCGTGAAAGCATTCCAAGTCATCAGCTCAACACGTTCTTCCCTCATCAGGCTCTGGGGGTTTGACACGTACGCTAGTAAGTCGAGGAAGCTGAGCATCGCCCTGCTGTTGTCTGGGTTGTTGGTGTTGGTTGTTGTTGGGAGGTGGAGGCTTGGGTGTGGGAGTCGCCGGTGGTGGAGGGAGGAGAGCGGGACTACACTAACACAGCCGAGCAAGCAAGCACTCCACTTCAGATATTCAAGCATTCATGAACCATGTACCCCAATCAGCTCCTCAATCATCCTCATCTTCAGCAATCGTCATCCTGCGAATACATACGAAGAGAAATACAGCCAATTCGCTTAGACTCTGGCTCAAAAAAAAGTTTTCTCCACCCAAACCAAGCATATCAACATATAACTAAATGAGAAACTATGCATTGATCTAACCATGGAGATATCCAATCCAAAAGGTAATGGAAAAAACTAACAGATTGTTGTCGAAGAGAAAAGAAAAAACCACGCCTAGTACAACTCGCGGTAATCATCAATTTTGAGAATTACCCTCCATCCCAGGATCTCTTGTTAAGGATACAGCGAAGGATCAAGACCTCCGGCGCAACATAGCCCCAAAAGAGTGAGTTGAGGGGAGGTTCTTGAGTAATGGTATTAGGATAGCATATTTAGAGAATAGAAGCCATAGCTTGACTTTCAGAAGATTGCCAAAAATAACATTCCAAAAAAAAGTGAATTTTATCTCCAGGGGAAAAATCAATCAAGGAGAAAATGAGGAGGCTAACAGAAAAAAAAAGATAGAGGGATGATGAACCAGAAAACAGATACAATCAGTTTCAAAACCAATTGGCTCACCCTGCAGATATAATAAACCTTCACAATCTTCTCCTAAATCATACCTCAATGAAGGTTGGTTTCTGTTCAAGATCCAAATCCAAAAACATTTTGGGGAAATTGGTAAGAGATTTCAAAATCTTTCTGGGGCTGGTTCCACCAACCAACAATGAAATGATAAACTCCATTGGGTGATATTGATACCATGAAAAAAACAACATCATCAAACTTTTCAGTTGACCCTTTTTTCCCTGAGGCTGAGCTATGCTCTGTAAGTGTCTTTTTGATTTCAATCATCCAGCTGGATTTTACTGAGAAAAGTAGATGAGATGTAATCAAAAATCATTCAAAAATCTGTTGGCTGTTGTGAATATTATCCTTTTTTGACCATCAGAGCTCCTCCTTAGCTGCAGCCTGCAGCAGTCTAAACTTCCAACTCTCCATAGGTAAAAATCATCAATTGACCACCTGTAGCTGTCATTCCCTAGATTATCTTGGCTATAATTTTTTGCTTATTTCACATCCATGTCTTCTCATAAGAACATTCATCAAATTGATGATCACTCCCATATATAGTATTTTAGGATTCTGATGTGTGCAATTTGAGAAGTGGGCTTGCATCATAGCCAAGGAGTGAAAGGACACTGAAACATGACCTCCTAATTCCAGAGCCAATTTGGGAGATCCAGTTGTGAGAGATTATAAAATGTATATAAACCCCAGCATGTTATGGGCTACCAATAAACCTGAACTAATCCCACACCCTCTCACCCATTTGCATGATCACTTTCCATCTTAGGGGTATATTTGTGTAATGTGTTTCCCAAGTCACTTGTTCTATCCAATCAACTCATCTTTTGCTTACACCCTTCATGTGGACAAATAAAATCCAAATTATGTAGTATCTCAAACCAACAGTGGTGGGCCGCTACTCCACACTACACTACAGGCACATTTAGTGTTAGTGTAGCGGCGCTCAAAGCTGCTTTTTTGTGTAATATTAGCACACCACTATTGCCGCTTTGCTGCACTGATTTGTAGCAGCAATAATACTGGCCAGTTTTTTGGTGTAGTCTTAGTGTGCCTCTGGCGCCGCTAAGCTAGAGCGTTTTTAGCGGCAAAAATGCCTAAAAACCGCTAAAAACTGCTGTAACGCAGAGCAGTGGGCGCTTCTTTGCGCCCTGTGCACGTAGTGTTAGCGCAGATGTGCAGAATCACGCTAATGCTATGCTGAATGTTAGCGCATTTTTGCGCCCTGTGCGCGGAGAGTTAGTGCAGAAAAGAAGAAATTTGCTAACACTGAGCTGAATTGAAGCTTTTTTTTGCACACTACACCACACTAATGCTACGGTTAGCATAGCTGGCCCACCGCTGAAACCAACCAGAAAGTCCACTCAAGGACTCCCCTTCAAAATGTGTGGGTCCCCCAGTTTTCATTTAGAGCCTCATAATGTGGATTTCCCTGCAAAAATCTAGACTTTTTGGGTGTAAATCAAAGACTGGGAGGGCCCCAGATCCAACGGGAAGTCAACCACTAACTACCCACATCTAAAAAAAGCTCAAGGTGGAAGAAGCACATCTCAGCTGGGAGGCAAACCAAGACAAAAGCCAACATCATGGGCAATGGCATGAATGTGATCAACTTCATATTTCTTCTTCTGTCTATAATAACTTGGGATGCAGATATTTTGATTCATGACAAAGGGCTTGGTGAAGAAGAAAAAATGCCCTGTGCTAATATTTGAAGAACTCGGATTCAAAGAAGCTTTTTCCTCAGCTTGCAAAAAAAAAACACTATGAACAAGACGCGTGCTATGTCTAGAGTTCTTCTGCCTGATCGAGAGACACCTGCTGTGGAGTACTTCTTCCTGTGGTTTAACTTTGACTCATTGGGTGGGACCGCTTAGCCACCAAGGAATCTAATTTTAAGCTGAGCATTTTTTTCCCTGAAGAATTTATAAGGTCCTTTCGTGCCAAAATGATCCAGACCTATTGATCCATCGGCTAAAAATGATCAAGACATCAAGTTTAAGAAGCTCACAGCGCCAGCAGCAGCCGTTCAAATGCATAGACACGTTCACCCTGTTTCAGGCTTAGGGCAGGTGCTGCTCGACCGGTTCTGACCGGCTCTGCGCTAAGGGGAGGAAGACTGGTGGGATGAATACGCCAGATCGCACTGGTCTACGGTCTGGTATCCGCTACCCTTCCCTTGAACCGAATCATTAGTGCTTTAAAAATACATGAAGAAACAAAGATTTTTAATGAAAACTAAGATTTAATTACCACCCACACTCGGATAGCCGGAGGAACTTGTTCCACATCTATCCTAGGAGATTTGCTGCGGCACATCTCCGAAAAGAGTACCACTGAAATGATTGAAATGCAAAATGGATGTCACAATAACCACACCATTCAATTTGGTAACCTTTTCCTTGTATTTTATAGCATACCGATCTGGAACCTCCGGTTGCAAGACTTGGTGCACTCCTTTACTGGCTTTAGTGTCACCGGAGCACGGCTCACAATCCAGAGTCTTCAAGTTTCTGAGACGTTTGATCATACCGTTGCCCATCAATCGAACTTTCTCTGCTATGGAAACCTCAAACTCAACGGCCCTAATCAGTTGCCAGGTTGTGGAGGTAGTATGAGTCGTGATCAGGATGTCCAGGTTTAATTTGCGCCTGATGACAACATCGTCTTGGAGTGTTGTGTGCCAAAAACAATTGCTATCCTGCATCGCTCCGCACTCTTCATGAACTCATTGGTGTTAGAAAAGAACCGCTATGAATTGGATCCTATTGGATCACGAGTTCCTTTTTTTTCTTCTCTTGAATGACTTGCGTCATTCGCTTTTGATTTCGTTTGCGTCACGATGCAAAGAATTACTGACTGGTTCTACCCATTGCCATGTTACAATATCAATTTTCATAATCCACCTCATCTAATCCTTTCTCCTCGGGGTCGGATGGCAATGCTTGCGGTTTGAGGTCTGAGATCATTGGCAACTGGCATCATTTAAAGGAGATTTCTCCGTGCACCCTTTCTCAAGTCCTCACTCAGCCGTCTCCAAATTGTCAACAACAATCTATCACTTAGCGCATTTATTTCATCCTACCACCTGCCGGCAGTTGGGATTTTAATCAATTTTTTTTTTGAATTATTAAGCTATTATAATAATCTTTTAAGCTTCAAAGGAACCAGAAACCCACAAAAATGAAATCCTTCTTTGGAATACTCCTTTTGAGTATCTACTTTTCTAGTTATCACTGTGAAATAATTCCAAACGATGTGAAAGTCTTGTCCGCAAGGCATGAAGTTCCTCCACGTTTTCATAAGTTGGTAGCAAGGCAAGATAATAAAGGACAGAATGGCCCAAAGACTCAACCACAAAATCAGCCACAAAATCAACCACAAAATCAACCACAAAATCAACCACAAAATCATCCGCAAAATAAGGGACAGAACAAGGGACAAGATCAAGGTCAGGACAAAGGAAAAGATCAGGGAGGAGATCAAGGTCAAAATAAAAACAATGGGAAAGTAGACCAGATTCAAGACAATGTGCAGGGTGATCAAAATCAAAACAATGGACAAGGAGATCAAAATAAAAACAATGGACAAGGAGATCAAAATAAAAACAATGGACAAGGAAATCAGGATAAAAACAATGGAAAAGGAGATCAAGATAAGAATAATGATCAAAATAAAAACAATGGAAAAGTAGATCAGATTCAAGACAATGTACAAGGAGATCAGAATCAAAACAATGGACAAGGAGATCAAAATAAAAAAGATGGACAAGGAGATCAAAATAAAAAAGATGGACAAGGTGATCAAAATAAAAAAGATGGACAAGGTGATCAAAATAAAAACAATGTACAAGGTGATCAAAACAAAAACAATGGAAAAGGAGGTCAGGATAAAAACAATGGAAAAACAGACCAGCTTTAAGATAATGTGCAAGGAAATCAAAATCAAAACAATGGACAAGGAGATCAAAAAGATAAAAACAATGGACAAGGAGATCAAAAAGATAAAAACAATGGACAAGGAGATCAAAAGGATAAGAACAATGGTCAAGGAGATCAGGGTGGAGAAAATCTCCAAAAAGTAAGTTGAAAATACCTTTTCAATTATTTAGTTATTCATTTCTATGTTGATCTAACATGGATGTAACTTTTTTAGTTCACTGAAAGTCTTGGAGGAGTTGCTGTTCCAACAGTTACCAAGCAAGGTGATGATTTCCGTGTACAGTCAGTATATCTCCAATCAAATAAATCATTTATTTATTTTTTCTTTGGGCTGACTTGTCTCTTAACTTGAAAACACATTTTTGCCCAGGTTTGGACCACCAGAGGAGAAGTTCAAGAAGCTGAATGCAGCACTGATCAGGGCTTGTGACCGACAATCTAACAGATGTGCAGATTTCTTCAATAAGAAGGGCCAAGGCAAAACAGCAGACTGTAATGCACAGCTTGACCGCTGTAAGCAGTTTGTCAACTCACAAGGGGGGGATAATAACAATGGAGGACAGAATAATGGCAACAACAACAAAAACCCTCCAAATGATGATCAAGACAAAAAGAAACAGAATCCACAAAATGACCAAAATCAACAAAATCAACAGAATCAACAGAATCAACAAACTCAACAAAATCAGCAAACTCAACAAAATGACCAAAATCAACAAAATCAACAGAATCAACAAAATCAGCAAAATCAACAAACTAACAAGGAACAAACTGGAACAAATGCAAAATAGTCCAAAACAAGGACTAAAAGATATAAAATTGATTAGATCATTTAATTTTTTCTATCAACCATTCTTTCATGATCTATACTCAGAATTAATTATGTATATTGCTTAACCATAAATTTTCTCATTCAAATTCCCAAATACTTAGCAGCTATCAACATTTGAATTCCATTTTTTTTTCTCCCTAGAAGAAAAAAAAACATTTCAAAACTGTATGTGATAATATGATTCTTAAAATGAGATGCTAGTTCATGAATCCAGTTTTTGGAAGATGTTTCATGAGTGATGGATCAGAAACTCATTATTTTACAAGTCTGGATCATTTCTTTGCATTCCTAGTTTGAGCAAAATTTAAATGTAGATGAAAATGAAAATGACCATCCATTTATCCCATATTATCTACTATTCAATCCGGCAACATGTAAGAATTTGAGGCTTAAATACTTGAGAAGAAGGATGTGCTCCCACAAATTTTGATTTCTGGTTTCCAGCTGTTAGTTGGAAGAGCTCGCTCTGGATGATCAATCCTCCTGGAGATTTACCTTGCAGAAAGGTGGGTACGATTTATGTTTTCAATTCTTGTAGAGTTTTTCTACTTTTTATTTTGGACCGTTCCACAATGAGTTGTTTTTATCTGCCAATTTTGTTCTATGGGTGTAGTTGGCGGGCATGTTCAGCTTGCACTCGGCTCTGTTGAGATCACATTGTTGTGAAATCCCATCTTGAGTTGTTTCCAGGCGAGTGTCACCAGCCTTTCACAGCGGAGTCCCCGTTGCCCCGATCAACCTACTTCGTCCTTGTCCCTGTTGACCATTCCACTTCTTCATCCAGCTACATACCACCACTCTCATAACCATCGACCACGATCTCATCTTCATCCACCGCATCACTCGATTCCACGCGCTTGATATCTCCATCTGGGAGAAGTTACGAGACAAGTCCTTGGCTTTCCAACTGCCTGACTGGTTGATTGATTACTTTCGTCATCATGGCTAATGGCATTCCTACCCAAGGTGTCGGCAGCTTATTTACACTCATCAAAAGGTGAAGCAAGCACTTGTTTCTTCTGCTCCGCTTCCCTCAGGCTATTATCGCTAAACGGTTTTATCTTTCAATTTTTTGATATCTGTTGGCATCGATAGGTTAGAGGCTGCCACCTCTCGCTTGGAGGACATAGCTATTGCTCAGACTACGGCCGGTGGGAATGGGATGACCGTCGAAAAATCAAACTCTGGCGGACAGAACTCGTTCCAGGAAGCTCCAACCGAGACTCCACCATCCTTAAAAGCCTACGATGAACTGATAGCAGGACCGCTTCAAAAATATCTGGGCTTTTCCAAGGAAGTGGGTGGATCAGCTCAGGAGCAAGCGCAGCATGTCGACGCTACATTCAGCGCCCAACGGACCTTCCTCTTGATTACCAGTTCATGCCAAAATCCGGGATCGTCAAACGTATTCATGGAGCTCTTACAATCCACATCAGAACCATTGAACCGGGTCGTGGAAATTAAAGATGCAAATCGCTCCGACAAACGCCTCTTCAATGGCTTGACAGCCATCGCCGAGGGAATCTCCGCTCTTGGTTGGGTCGCCGTGGAAAGTAAACCGGGGCCTATGGTTGCGGAAGCTAAAGATAGCGCCCAATTTTGGGTAAACCGCGTGTTGAAGGATTTTAAAGAAACGTTAGTCTCACCCGTCCAGATATCTGAGTGATTCATAGGTTTGACAGTTAAAAAAATCCCAAGTGCTCAGTGGATTGATCGATGTTTCCTCCATGTCCATTTTTATCATGGAATTTATTTTTGATTATAAAGGGAACCCAAGTTGGTTGAGTGGGCAAAAAGTTTTGTGGTTGTTTTGGAAGAACTCCGAAAGTACATTATGCAGTATCATACTACGTGTCTTGTCTGGAACCCGAAGGTAAGCTCAACCGCCACCCCTTTGCTTTAGGCTTCATTCTGATCTGCATATGTCGGCATTCTTTCTAATCAGGGCGAAGATGCTGTCAGTTTTTCCAAACGATTGGCGAAGGGAGATACATCGACAGAGATCCCCCAACCTCCTGGACCACCACCTGCTCACCCACCTCCGCCGCCACCACCACCGCCTATGCCAGCGGCCTCGGGTGCCAGTTCGGGAGGTGGAATGGACGCAGTGTTCTCTTCTTTAAACCAAGGCGAGAAGATCACTAGCGGCCTGCGAAAAGTCGATCCAAGCCAAATGACACACAAGAATCCAGAGCTCCGTGGGTCGGCTAGTGCTGAGGTAACCGTCAGTCCTTCGAATAGCCTCAAGAGACCCGCCAAACCCCCCAAGCCACCCAGTTTCCAAAAGAAGCCTGCCAAAACCGAGTTGGTTGGAAACAAGTGGAATGTTGTGAGTACTGGAGCTCACCTCTATCTTCTCGAGTTTTATTGGTGAAACTAAAATCAATGACTTGTGGGCGCGCTAACAAAACCCCAATAGGAATACCATGAAGGTCAATCCTCGATCGTCTTGGAAGACACTCAAATCAACCAAGTAGTCAACATCTTTGGATGCAAGAATTCGACGATCCAAATCAAAGGCAAAGTGAACGGGATTACGCTAGTATCGTGCACGAAGACGTCGGTACTATTGGACTCGGTAGTCTCCTCGTTATGCATCACCTCCTCGCCCTCATTCACCGTCCAAGTGCTCGGAAAATGTCCGACTATCATGATCGATGCCACCGATGGCGGTCAAGTCTATCTCAGTAAAGAGAGCCTCGAGGTCGAGATCCTGACGGCCAAGACTAGCGCTCTCAATGTCAGTCTTCCGTCCGGCGACGAGGAAGGCGTGTTTGTCGAGAAATCCTTGCCCGAACAACTCAAAACTTCCATCAAGGATGGTAAATTAATCACCACCGTATTCGAACACACTGGATAACTCCATAGATGTTCGTGAATTGACTTACAATAGCAAGCATCATTGCATAGTAGTACTTTTTTCCTGTTTCCTGTCATTTTATAATATTGAATGAATGCTATGATTTTTTTTTTCGCAAATCTTTCTGACATTAAACTTAGACTCTTTTTTTACGTTTTGCTGTGTGTAAATTGTAAAAAAACAAAAAACATGAAAAAAGATGTACGGGTTCCAACAAATAATGGGTCACCCGGGAAGTGGAGAATACATCCTGAAGTGTTACATGGATAAAATGAGAGTGTGAAAAGAAAAACTCCCTGGTAATTCATGAACGTTTTCAGGAATTTGGTTGGAAACAAACAATGAGGTCCAATTTTGAGAAGAAATGTCCACTTTTCATTAATCTGTTATAACACCCGAGTGGCGGAATGTCTGCATATGTGCATGTCTTATGGATCTGCATCTAGCTAATCCAAGGCTTTATGACCACGATAGAAAGTACAAAATAGCAGATCCCTACTTACTACCTTAGTTTCCTCACATTCCAAGATATACTCAGATGCAAAGTAAGTCAAGACCAATGACCTTTGGTTTTAATGCTAGCCTGGATGTGATTTGACTTCTCCACCCTCACCTAATTGCAAGAGATTTTTGTTGTGATTTGTTTCATATGTACTCAAACAAGCTGCGTTTTGTTGATGTTGCAAAGAGCTGCGAGTTGGAGCAATCACCAGGTTTCTTTAATCAAAACTCAGATCGTGAGTGCTAGTTGGGAGCCTGTCATAAACAAAGAGTTCAAGCATTAACACTCCGGTCCACAAATTCAAACACACCTCGACTAACTAGGAAAATCGGTGGCGATACTACGTCACGGGTTTTGGTTTTTACAGTCAAGACTTCAATAAGCCCGAGGGAAATCAGGATGCTTTCCCATTTGTTCCTCCTTATAGTTAAGATACACTTTTGGTTTTATAGGGTTTTTGAAGCCAGCTGTGATTGAGCTTTTCTTTCGCACCCTCAGATTATTCAAATTTTGGGAATCTATGCCATGATGGAAGAAATTGAAGAAGTTGGCAACATTTCTGCTTCGGCATTCGCACCAAGGAGCGCGGGCAAATCCAACAGAGCTCAACTCTCCTCCCTTATATACAACACACAATATTCAGTCACCCAATGCCACCGCTCGCAACTGAATTCTCAAGGAGCGCGTGCATTTCAGCACCCTGGGTCTTCCTCCACTGCTCCTCAAGTAGGTTGTAGCTTGTTGAATTGGGTTGGGCCAACATACCCTATATAAATGCTTACACTGTGAATCGATTGGCTAGGTTCTTGACTCAGTTGTTTCAATCGACCCAAAAGAAAACACTGCAGACAGAGAAACCCCAGGAAATATGAACTCAGACCTTATTGTTATTAAGGAGCCATCAAGTTATGAAGAGATGAAAAGTGAATTGAATGGCTCAGTGTTGTGGATCAGGAATAATTGCATTGCCTTTTCTTTTGTGGGAGTGTCAGGGTTAGCATCTCTAATGGTCTTTGCGTGGTTGCTGGCATTGGCAGTCAATAAGGTGCTCAACTACTCATAGAATACCGATTCTATTCATTCACCAAGAACGATGTGAATTTGTCTTTTGTTCTTCAAAAGAGATAACGTAACCTAACCCAAGAATACAAAAACGTCATACATATGATCAAACCAAAGACGTCCGCTGGTTATTCTTCAAATTTCAAGTAGACTAGAAGCTGTTTTTTTTTTTCCCTTTGAGAGATCACATGTGTGGTTTTGTAAGGTAACTTTTCAAAAAAGCAAAGGCTTCATAGATCATGATGCACCATCTGTGAGTCTGAGTCCCAGCGACGAGATCTTCAAGGCAATGGGTTATAAAAACGGAACAATCCACGAACTCAGTAATTGATATGTATTATGGGTTTGGTCAACTTCTGAAAACCTGAGCCTTTGTTACCTCAAGTACATAAATAATGCCAGATTTCTAAGAAAAATTGATTGATAAAACAAAGCGCACGTACCCCAAGTGAGACCAATAGCCGTTCATTTACCCACCAAGATAGCCTTTCATTTACCCATCATGTCATTTGACTCGTCCTATAGAAGGGATACGCTGAGTCTGGTTTTGACGATTTGTTTTGACAAGCTGTAAAATGGAAAAACATCCCAGCTTTTTAATTGGTCATTCAATATCTAAAGTTTGAGAGAAGATAACAGGCTTTCATTATACGGTATCTGCTTGAATATCAACCTACAATTCCTCCCGCTGAGTCTCAACAAGCGGGTTCTTGAGGTGTACGAAAACTGGAGTACAGTTCATCTTCGAGTCTTGCATACCAGAACTCGAGCGTTTAATCAAGGTAAGTTTTGTCGAGATAGTAAAGAAAAGTTGCAGTGGCGTTGCCAAAAAGAATGACGGCAAGTCTGCTGTTTTTGGCTGCAAATAGGTGAGAAAGACTCCATTCCAATCGCACGATAGATTGCCTCTGTTTTTCTTCTGGCAACAGACCTAACATTCAACGACTTATATTTCTTGGACAAACATAAGTCCTTATATTATCCAAAGGTGCTTATCAACAGCTCCCATCGGTTATAAAAAAACCGCAAGTGTAGCATAATAGCCACTTAATTTTATCTACCAATTAATTTAACTGCTGAGAACGCGCATTCTAGAAACCATGATGATTTCCCGGATAATGATACTTTTAGTTGAGTTTCGCTTTGATTTATATTTGCATTGATCTCGAGGTTTAATTTTCTGGTTTTCTTACCCACAGATATCTGGGATCTTGGGTGTCCAAGCTATGGAAACCCTTAAAAGCACCAGAAATGTTTCTAATATGAATGCCGGACGAGAAGCCATTGGAGAATCCAACAAAGCTGAATGCACCTCTGTTCACAACACAGAAATTGAAGATCTTCAGACTAACCAACATACTGGTCGATTCAAAGCCACTAAAAAACTTGAAAGGTTAAAAAATATCGTTAATTTGAATGAGTCTGGAAAAGGTGATCACATTACTATTGACATCGTGGAGACTGAAGGTCTCCAAAACCAACGCAATCCATTGGAGTCTCAAGGAGAATGTTCGAGTATAGATCATGGGTCTTCTTCAACTGCTCCTCCAGTAGTAGGTTTTATACTTCAGTTTATCTAAAACCAGAGAAACAAAAACTGAGATTCGAAATCACTGTGCAGGTTAAAACCCCAAATGATTCGATTGACCCAGAAGAAAAAGCACGCTTACTGAATCCAGAATGCGACATGGATGATTTTTCCGGTATCCCTGAAACTCGACTTCCTCGTCAAGTAAGAACCAATGGGTGTATAGAGTGGGCTAAAAAGGACCCTGCTTCCTGTTGCATTTCGCATACTATGGCTGCTGCCAGCATGGTTTGCTTCGTGTTACTAGCCGTAATGGCCGTAATCAAGACGAGCTTTCGTTATTAGTTTCAGATGTTTATCTTCGTAAAAAAAATAAATAAAAATACATATACGAATTCCTGTCAATTGGAAACTGGGGGAATTGATGCTTCAGAAAATATTTTTATGTCAAATGTTAATTCAGTGTTCCAGTACAAAATTCTACAACTGATTTTTTTGATGATTAAGAAATCCAACTTAGTCACCCCAAATTACCATGGATGTATCCAGATTGAGTTCACTTTCTTGTGATGAGGCATTGGCTAGGAGTTTCAACTGTGAAGCTCGTGTTGAGTGTAAGCTATGCAACTTGGAGGTGATGGGTCGAAACAGTTGGATTGAAGATGGTAGTGATGATTGATAGAGTGTCAACTGACACCCCCACCCCCCCGCCCAAATATGCTGATTGACCTTACTTTGGGATAGCCACCTATGTGAACAATTTTTAAGCTGGTCTGTCCTGGTGAAGGAAGTTTTCCACCAATT